ATGTCATTCTGGTGCCATAACCTAGCCTACCTCCTTACCTACCTAGCCTATACCTACCTACCTACCTACCTACCTACCTAACCTACCTACTACCTACCTACCCTACCTACATACCTTACCTACCACCTACCTACCTACCTACTACCTACCTACTACCTACCGAGCCTAACTTACCTACCTACTACCTACCTACTTAGCCTACCTACCTACCTACTACCTACCTACCTACTACCTACCTACATACCTACCTTATACTGACATACCTACTTATCTTATATATCTACTACCTACCTTACCTACCTTAATACTACCTACCTACCTATTACAGACCTACCTACCTACCATACCTAGCACATACCTAACCTACCTACTACCTCCTACCACCTACCTACCTACCTACCTACCTACCTACCTACTACTATTACAGATCCTAGCCTACAACCTTTTACCAACCTACTAACCTAGCCTATCTAATCTATCTATCATATCCTATCCTATCTACCTTACCACCTACTACCTACCTACCTACCTACCTACCTACCTACTAACCTAACCTACCCTACCTACCCTACCTACCTACTCCTACCTTGACTACCTACCATACCCTAATTTAGCCTACTACTTATCTACAGAACCTGCATACAACTCTTATTACCAACTTACCTACCTACGTAACTACCCACGTACTACCTACTTGACATACCTGCTAACTAGTATGTACCTGCCTCACTATCAAAATTTACTAAGATACAACATATTGCCTGCCTCGCCTAGGTTACTATTCCCCAACTAACTTCCTTTTTTACCTTAATAATTATGTCTAAACGGTATAAAACCGTGTTGCTCTAAATCACGGATGTAATGAATCATAACTTCGAAATAAACAAAAACACATTTTTTGTATAAGATTACCAATTATTGTGGTTACTTAATCAGCGATGAATTAATAATTCATCGAGAGCGTAGAGAGACATCTCTGTTATGTAATGGATATGAGTTTGATTGAATTTGATGAGCAGTTATGTTGCAATGCCCTTTACAGTGTTACCTCACAGTAACCTTGACAGTATCCTTACTAAGATAACATATCTGCCTGCTCGTCTAGGTACTTCCCCCCAATAAGTTCTTGTTTACCTAACAAGTATGACGGTTTTAACCGTGTTGTTTAAACATGGTGTAACGAATCACAACTGGACTCGTTATAATAAATCTTCGTACAATAAATAATTCTTTATGCATAGTTCTATTTACTGGATTAATTGATAATAATTATATGTTTAGGAAATTGGAATTTATGATTAGAGTTCGATAATTGGGCAAGTAACTGTCACGAAAAAGCCCACCACCGACTGTCAAGTCACGACGTGAAAGCACATGAACGCACGCACGTATGCACTCAGCACGCTCGTACTTGCCCTCCCCCTGGAAAAGCACCCCTTGGACCCCATGCCATTCACTTCTCCTCCCGATAATTACAAAGATGACCCTCCCACCATAATAAACATATATGGAGTTTGTGCAACAAATTACTTGAAGTGTCTACGATAAGTTTTACTTTATCAAACGTTTTTGGATGTTGTACAAAATTCTTAGGATGGCTGATTTACCTGTAGACTGTAATGGTCTTTGTTATCACTTATCCGGTTTAAGTTTTGAGCAGACCATGTCTTTTAACATGACCATGTATAGTAAACCTCATTCTCGTGTCCAATTGTAGGTTATATTGATGATAAATAGCAGTATTAGTTAGGGAGCGATTCATGATAGTATTTGTTGCATGATCTTAGACTGACCCTAGCCTTGCGTGCCATCCTAAAAAATTATTACGCAATGTTTGTATGTGAAGTCGAAGAAATTAGTGAGCATGACGGACTCTGAGAGACTTTTCAATGTCATTCTGGTGCCTACCTACCTACCTACCTACCTACCTACCTACCTACCTACCTACCTACCTACCTACCTACCTACCTACCTACCTTACTACTGACATACCTACTTATCTATATATCTACCTACCTACTTACCTACCTTACTACTAACCTACCTACCTATCTACAGACCTACCT